GGGGGGGGCAGACAGACAGACTGAGATAAGATTGTGAAACTCGTTTATCCACACACTTATGTTCAAGACAGGAACGTGCGTACAGGAACTGGAACAGCACCTTATATTTAGTAACTTTACAAAAGAAAGAAAATCGTACATCAGATGAAAAAACAACAACAACCAGAAAAGAGAAGAATACAATATTTTATTTAAATGAGAGCAGAAGTACATTGTTCCATGCCTCAGTGGGGTGTATGTAAATAAGTTGAGTGACATGTGCACGTGTGTCTCAGGCGAGATGTCAACAGTTTCTACTCACGGCAATGTCCGATATTTCACAGAGAGGACAAAGGGTGACGTCATTCGAGTCCGTGGGGAGGAACTACAGCGGTGTAATGAGGCAGTGTTGGGGGACAGGGAGCGTTGTTTATGACTGATGGGGACACAGAGGGAGAGGGAAGGGGGGGTGCGGAGAGAGAGAGAGAGAGAGAGAGAGAGAGAGAGAAGGGAGGATACAGGGAAAGATACAGGGAGAAAGAGTGTGCGAGTGAGAGAGAGATACTCGGAGATAAGAGACACACACATGTACGCACAAACGCACACACACACACACAAACACACAGAAAAAGAGACACGAAGAAAAAAACCCAGAGAAAAAAGGGATAAACGGACAGGCAGAGAGAGAGGGAGATAGAAAAAGAAAAAGAAAGATGGAGAGGGGAAAAAAGGAGAGGGGAGGGGGGGTTCTCAAAGGACCTCCCTGGCTCACAACTAGAGTTTCACTGCTCACGCAGAGAAAGTGGCCTTGCGGCAATTGACGGAAGTTGGCCTGCGTTGGTAGTGACTTCTGAGATTCCAGACCTGGATATAATGATTAAAACAACAATTGGCAGTTGATTATTTAAAATACAAGAATTCAAGGAATTAGTGTGCCACACATTGAATTTCTAGGTGCTGCTTTGGACACCGCCCATCAGCGCACCCACGAACACAGACCGAAAGATAAGGATTTCTTTTTCATTTAAAAAACATTTTTATTTAGGAAGTAAAATTGTTGCTTTTTCGATGAAGTTACAACTTATAAGACTTTCGACTACGATACGGTCAGAATAAGTTTTCTTAATCGTCTCATTATGTGAATACCCCCTTTTTAATGAAAGTAAAATGTTACATATTTTAGTTTTCGAAACAGTTAAACAGATTTACAATTGGTATTAGAATTCAAATTATGCTTAAATCCACAAGTTAAAAAAAAGAAAAACTAATTTATTAGTCTGAAGTTTTATTAAATGAGCTTGCTAAATTATAAAATACCTAGCATATTTTCCTGATACATTAAAAAAAAAATGCTCTGGAAAACACGAAATTTACTATTCAGGTGGGAAAATTACACTTGATGCAAACGTTTCAGATTGATTCTAGACATGTGAAAACAAGAGTCATATAATAATAGGCCAAATAATAATAATAATAATAATAATAA